CTCTCTCTCTCTCTCTCTCTCTCTCTCTCTCTGACAACCAAAACTGTTTCTAGTCATTGCAAAACGTCACCCCTCATTGATAACTACTGCCCTAACATCGTCAGTTTCAAATTCTGGGGAAAGTTCAAGATCATACATACTGTAACTTGCGTATCTTAAATATATATATATCGAGGCCAGGTGCGGTGGTTCATGCCTGTAATCCTAGCACTTTGGGAGGCCAACGTGGGCAGATCACCTGAGGTTAAGAGTTCGAGACCAGCCTGGCCAACATGGTGAAACCTCATCTCTACTAAGAATACAAAAAATTAGCTGGGCGTGGTGGCGGGCGCCTATAATACCAGCTATTCGGGAGGCTGAGGCAGGAGAATTGCTTGAACTTGGGAGGCAGAGGTTGCAGTGAGCCGAGATGGCACCATTGTACTCCAGTTTGGGCAACAAGAACAAAACTCCATCTCAAAATATATATATATATAAAATATATATAATATATCACATATATGATAATACATTATATGATTATATATATGATATATAATATATATAATTGCCTTGGGTAATTTCTAGGATTCTTCACTAAGGAGGTTGATTATATATTATATGATTACATATTATATCATATATATCATATATGTATATGTCATTATATATACATGATTATATATGATTACATATTATATATCATACATGTGATATGTCATATATATCATATATATTATATATAATATAAAATACATATTTTTTTTTTCCCAGAGAAAAGTTTGTCCACTGCAGTTACTTTTTTTTTTTTTTGAGATGGAGTTTCACTCTTGTTGCCCAGGCAGAAGTGCAATGGCATGATCTCCGATGACTGCAATCTCTGCCTCCTGAGTTCAAGCAACTCTCCTGCCTCAGCCTCCCTAGTAGCTGGGATTACAGGCATGAGCCACCGCATCCAACCCTGCAGAAGTAATTTCTAGAAATCTCAGAGAAGAAAGTGACCCAGATGACCCTAACTAGAATAGAAAAGGAAATTATTTCAGGGAAGTAAACAGTGAGTGGACTTTGATTAACCAAGTCAGTCCCATAGCTAGGCTAAATCAGTGCTTAAATAGCCTTTACCCTGAAATGATCTCATCTTCCACTCAGGGGTTCTTCAGGATGCCTTTTCCTGTAGCAGGCTAGGAACTCTCTCTCTGACTGGTGCACACTCAATTAATTCACTCTGCATTGTAGAGAAGGATGACAAGACATGAAGGACCCATCTGTCAGATGGCTGCTGACAATGTATCAGCTCTAGGGTGGCAGGAGCCTCACTTTATATGTGTTCCCCAAAACAGCAGCAGAGTCTTTAACTGATAATGTGTACCCACCAGCAAGCAGTGTGTGGGCCCCAGTTGCTGGGTCTCCCTAGTCCCAGGCCCAT